GTGTGTGTGTGTGTGTGTGTGTGTGTGTGTGTGTGTGTGTGTGTGTGAGAGAGAGACGGACCTGCTATGGGGTCCATAGCCTCTCTGCTGTAGTTGGAGCTCTGTGAGGAGCTCTGGCTGGTGGAGAGCCCCCCTGTGGTGCTGCTGGTGAAGTGCATGTTGGACCTGCGGGCACGTGGACCCCCCAGCCCACGCCCGGGGTGAAACATCCTTCTCACGTGCCGCACCCCACTGGACTCGTCGTGAAGTTGCTCGTTAAGGAACACACCGGTTTTTTCATCACACTTTTAAATCTACAAAAATTGTGGGAAAATGCCCCCAAGCTGATGATCTAACCAAGACCAAGAGACAGTTATTAAAAATATTCTCACATTTAAGAAGCTGGAATCAGCCAATACTAGGCATTTTGCATGTAAAATGACTTAAAATGATAAGTCAAAGATTAGTTCTGTGTCTATCTGTGGCCCTATTTTGTGAAGCTCAGCTTCATCTTTGGTTTCCTCAACAGAACTCGTTCAAAGCGCTCCATAAATAGAGTGCAACAGCAGTAGCAGCCGCTCACATGGAGCGTTTCAGCTGGTTCCTGTCAGGCAAACACAGATGCTGCCATTTCAACCAGACATGCATTTTGATGAAGAACAATTCTTTGAAAAGCCCTCCTCTCCTCGACTACTAGTACAGTGTAAGCCAACTCAGACATCTTTTAATTTCAAAAAGGAATGAAGGGGATGTGTACGCATTTCTGAAATATGACATGATTGACTAATACACTACAGCAGAGCCTCAAGCTACAATAAGATGCCAGACGTCAGGGCCAGCAAAGCCTTCTCTGCTTGCACACGTTATGGCTGGGAATGCTTTTTATTTGCTACCGTGCGTCTTGGTGTTTGGAGCTACGCTACGCTAACCTGAGGTGGCTAACCAAGGCAGCAACACGACACCATAGCACGACAGGACACTCACAAGCTACGGTGCTTTTGAAAACTTTTGCTGAGACCCAAGTGGATCCACAACTCAACGAACATGTTCACAGGAGGACCTCTGGCTGGAGCTGAACCGCACCGATGTTCTGTCCAACCACGGTATTAAACTCTTTGTTAACAAAGAAAGGAGGATGGACTTTGTCTTTAAGTGAACAGCAGCTTTGGTAAGTCAACTGCTTTGTTTTACATCTGCAGTAGTGTTACTACTGTGTTAATTTGTCTATGGTGTCGTTTTTATGATTTGGTTAATATTGTTCCCTCTGATGTGAATAATATTTGAATGGCCCGTGCTCTTTAGTGTGTGGATGAATACGTGTTTTAGTGCCACAGTGTTGCTGGATTGATTTGTCATGCTTTGTTGTCATAAATATATGTGACTGGTTCTTGCGAGTTTGTTCTTGTCATTGTGTTAATTACATTGATTTTGACTATATGCATTGTCCGTTAATGACACAGCATCCCGTCATGCATATTCACGTATCTGCACTCTGCAGTTAGTGTATTTGTAGGTGCTGAGCTTCATTTTTACACGAAACAAATAACCTGTAGGGGTTAGGGTCGGACATTTGATTCTCTGTTTGGGGTTTTGTTTTCTTTAACAAAGCAAGAATTATGGTCTGGAGAAATGGGGATTGTGTGGCAATTGCTTTAGCCCTGTTTGAATCAGTAGGGAACGGCTAAACACTGCGGGGAGAGTGTAGCTTGTGTGCTGCTGTTGTTTTCCTGCTAAGCTAGTTTAGCATAGTGTGCCTCCCAGAACACACGCGCCTCACCAGAGTACAATGTTGTTCTTCCATGGTGGGCGTGTCAGACAGCACGTTGTCTGTTACGTTGAGTGGGTTGCCAGGTTAAGCGCAGTGGCTCCACCGAAAGAAAATTATATTTTCCACAATTTAAGCTTCTGCCTTTTGAGCCTCGTACCGAACGGTTCAATACGAATACGTGTATTGTTATACCCCTAGAAACAAATAATAACCGTAGCTGTGGCGTCATAATGAGGTTATTAGGAGGTGGTTCAGCTGTAGTAGGACAGCACTGAAGGCCCAGGTATAAAACACACAGCCCGCCACTGTGCCATAGTAATTAAATAACATAAGACAAGACAACATTACAACTTGTACAACCGTTACTGCCTTTTGCAATCACCTCACCAATCCACTTAATCAGGCCAGTATCACGGTAAATATGGATCCAGATTGGATCAGTACCGCCCTACAAACCATCGTAACGTAACACTACCTCTCATGGCTTTCTTTTTTTGGAGAGGGGAGAAAACAAGCAAGTTTGAAGGAAAACATGAAGACGAGAGGACTTGGCCTAAACTCTGACATTTATCCTCTTCGCATCGAACCAACCTGATCAACCTGAGTGAAGCCTCCATACACAAGTCTGTCACAACGGCATGACAAATAGTTTAGTTTAAACGACAACAGCCATGAATTCAATACTGCACATATCCGGATATATAATCTCAGTTCACCCACCAGGTGATTTAGAAAACTACCCCAGGAGGCTCTAATGTTATCAGCAAAACGTCAACAAATGTCAGTTCCAGTGAACAGACGCCTCCCTTGTGCGCTAATCTGTGGCTAATCGATATAGCAGCCCCAGTTACGGTCATGTCTGTTTAAAAAAAAGGATATCAAGTCTCTGGGTGCTCTGTGTTCAAGTGTGAGATGAGCAGCGAAGTCATCGGTCACGTGATTGGGGTCGCCGCCTGGCAGCGCTGCACATATGGGGCAGATCTAGAAGAGAGAGAGCACACGTTAATATCGGCACACTTCACCGCACATTCAACAATCGCCAGTTGGTGCTGGCTCCTCTTCAACAAACTGAGATCAGCAAATATCTACTGTACCAATGCAATATCTAATTATGAGAAGACGCAATATCAGAAGAGCTCCAGCTCTGTGTTGAGGGAGTCAAAAACCCAACAGAGATGAAGTGAAGTTGAAGGAAAGGATCTTTTTGAAACGTTTGACATGTTGGTGAATTCATCTGCTGGTGCTTCTGTTGTAGCAGTGACACTGAGAAAAGCATCACATGATGGTGTTAGGTTCTTGTATTTAAATGGCGGGTGATGAGGACACTGATAACCTTGAGTCGCGTGCGTGTTGTAGGAGTGACGGGGAGGAAAGATTGAGTCATGTCTATTATTCAGGTTTTCTATTTATTCATTTATTGCATGAACTGGTGGATCCCTGATCTAAGGAGACTTATGACTGGAAATGATTCAGCTGAATGCAACAGAGACAAAACCTAAAACATTCCACTGATAGTAGTTCATTTCACAATAATTCAGCAAAAAGCGTGTTTGGGTGTTTCAGTGCACGAGTGCACACCTGCTTCATGATTTTGATATTTAACGTAAATAAAATTACCAAACTAATTAACTATTAGTCTCGCTGTGGTAAAGTAATAGAATTTGACTGACCAAAATCTGTTTCAAATAATTTGAAATAAACATAATTAGTAATGTTAAGCATACATTACATGGGTGACGGTTCTTTGAACTATTTCTCAGTAGTTTAAACCCAATGTTCATTTGCTGTCTGGAGTAAAAACAGAGAGCATCTATAAATAGAGCTGCACCGTCTACCTGACTTCACTCGCAGTTCGGTTTTACTTGCACAGTCTCTCAGACACCGATTGGATTTACTGAATCTGAGGTACGTCGATGTTTCCAAGGTCTTAATATCTGTGCAAACATCCAGTGAAGGTTCCATAGAAGGAGTATGAAGCGACAGCACCAACTTACCACTTCTGTGGAGGTCTCTGTATGCTCTGCAGCCACGTGCTCCTGCAGGGAGATCTCCGTGTAGCCCATTCTGCCACAGTAGGGACACGTGAAGGCCTGGGGCTGCTCCACTGAGAACGCTTCTCCACCGTAGTACAGGTCTGGAGGAGGAGGAGGAGGAGGAGGAGGAGGAGGAGGGGGGAGATGGAGACGGTCATTCAGTGTCAGTGATTTAGCCGTTTCAGGTGCTGTGATTGCGGCCGTTTCTCCCACAGAGGAGGACAGATGGAGGACATTTGACAGTAACGGAACGTTTCAGATTAAGAAGCCGTATTTTAACCGGGATGTAAACGCACACAGAGTCCCGTTAAAGTCAATTTGGACAAGATGAATGAATAAGTGGGTTCAATAAGACGAGGACAGAAACCTTCTATTTAACCCAACCATTTCAGCTGTTAATAACAGAACATTTCCCAGCCCACTCGCATACAATCAACCTGGAGGCAGTTTGACCGAGCTGTTAACACAGCCCTGACATACTCGCCTGATAAAGTCGTTATGGTGAATGTGCGAGCAAACAGCTGCCTATTCACACATCCAACACACAGAGCACCACCAGCGTTCATCTGAAGAACCGTTCGTGTCCACTCGATAGATGAAAGTCCATTTTCACTTTCCTGTTAGCTCTGTTTTATGATCTCCACCAAGTTCTGAGGGAAATATCTGGTTATTTTGTTGATGAACGCTCCATGTTGTTCACCAGCTAGCCGCCAACTGTGTCTGACCGCCATTTGGAGTCGGGCAGATCGGGTACTGTGGGTCTATCTGCTGCAAACAACAGCAGTAGTGCAGCTGTAAGGAAAGCAGCTTAGCCTAATAATAGCTAATAATACAACTGTCCATTTAAAAACAGTCAACATGTGACTAACATGATGGCTTTTTTTTTATTTTTTATTAGTTTCCCCATCAAAACACTAACAAAAATGATTTTTATATCATTAAACCGTTATCGAGATCAACCATTGGTGGACAACTGAACCAACCACAAAATCTTTAGGAGCTTGCACCTTCTGCTGTGTTTTCAACAACAGTTTGTATTTTTTTTCTCAACAGATTGTATAACAGAATTTCCAACGTTTGAAACGCTGAACATCAACATAATTCACGGCACCAATGTATGAAATAACAGTGGAAGTCGTCCAACAGCAAAAGAAACGGTCCATTCAATGATATCACATCTAGTGTACTATCAAGTTCACCAATTATTAATGGTTAACTCAATTTATCTCAAGTCTGGATTGGACTATCTCTATCCCCGTTGCTGCCACAACAAAACGCTTTTATACATGTAGCGATGGACCAGATCAGCGGCCCAATAACTCCTCAAGCTGTTTGGGTCACATCCATCCCTGCTATGCCATTCTGGAGCAGCCTTCTCAGCTGAACACGAAAGCCAGCGGCAGCAAAAGATAACGTGCACTGTAACAGTTCAACTTATTAAAGCCGCTGAAGGGTGGTTTCAAAAAACTGCCGATATCAGAAGTTTATCCCAACGATTACACGCCAAGAAATAATGCCAGTTCTTGATTATTTGAGAGTCACTATACAAACTTTGAAATCCCTGGCTTAAAAATTCCAGATCATTTGCAAGTGAAGCTATTCCATCTCTTTATGTTTTGCGTACGCTGCCACGACAGCCTTGCAACTGGTCTATCACCCATCGCACCACACACTAAGGCTGGGCGGTATACCAGTTCAACCGGTATACCGGTTTTAATTTCCCGTACGATATGAATTTTTCATATACCGTCATACCGGTGCACACCCGAAACAACTTCTGTCGCTCTTCAACAGGCAACAAAATATATTGTTCACCGCTGAGAGTGCCATGGTCGGCGCTAGTTGTCTTAAGTGTATTGAGAGGGAACCCTAGTCATGGTTATAACTTTATAACAACAATTAACAACCCACAACTAATGCTATTAACAGGGCAAAACACCACGACACAACAGTTTGTGCCACATAAACAATTTGTAACACTAATAATTGTAGATTTATAAAATTTCCCCGCTGAACTGCATGCTGGGTAAGGCTCGCTAACAACAGTCTGCTAACAGCTGGGAGAGGCTCTGTCGCTCCAGTAACGTTACATTAAAGAACAGAAAAGAGCAATGCAGGATGAACAAAGACTGAACAACAAAATGTATTTTGGTTTGACACATATGCAACGCTGATTACCGTGTAATATGTGTGTTATTTGTTATAAATTTACATTGATACATATAGGGTGATAAGAAGCTGTACATGGAGGGGCTTAGGACCCAGGGGAATGTAGGTGAAGGAAACAGGAAGTGACGGAACGGAACACACGCCACACAAACCGCTGTTCACCGCTCGCTGGCCGGCCAGTTCTTTTCGGCGTTAATTAATTAATGCTTTAACGCGGAAAAAAAATACCGTGAAACCGCCAGAGTCTTACAAAATACCGTGATATGCATTTTTGGTCATACCGCCCAGCCCTAACCAAACACACACACACACACTTTAGATGCAGATAAAGTGGCACTTGATAGCTCGTTGTTGATACTCGGCTTACGATAACGTCTGACTCAGAAGCACTCCGACATTGAGAATCAGTTTATAGACACGGTGCGTCTGGTTCAGGGCTAATCTTTGAACTGTAGAGATGCGGCACAATGTGAATATGTTGTGTTCAACATCTGTATTTTCTTGTCCGATTGCCAGTGCACTATCAACATCCGTCTATCGAGGTAAAGTGCTACCAAACGGCATGAATCACAACAACAATAATACTGACTGACAGACAGCTCATGAGGCTAAAATTCACACTTTCACAGCCTGCATAGGTACTCTGCTCATAATCAGCCTGATGTGAACATCAATTCTACTCACCAAAGTCAACTCGGGTTAATATACACTGCATGGGATGCTCTGTGGTGTGTCTGGTTGTGGTCGCACCGCTCTCGTAGCACGATGCGCACAGGTCGTAGTCGTAGCAGATTAAACATTTGTATCGCCGTCCTCTGAAGTTGCCTTTTAAACATGCATCGCAGCTCACGCCTGAGGGAGGAAAGATAAGAGAGGTTAGATGTTGGATTTTACTTTGTCTAACACATGTAGATCATATCAACTATTTACCATTTATTCTCTGTTCTTATTAGGCGTTACATTAGATGTTTTAACTGGGATTTCCTGAACCAAGTCGGATCAAGACTTAAGCGGGAGATGTATTTCTTATGAATGGTTGACAATGAATATAAGCTTCACAAAAAGGCCAGTATGAATGTGGTGGACAGAACATGAACGCCTGCTAAATATAATACGATCCAATAAGATAGTACCTACAATAAATACTACTTCCGCATACAGTAATGTTAAGTGTTAATTAGGGCCGTGACAGAAGCTGAACTCGTATTGTGGTGCTGTGGTAGTGTACTGGGTTGCATAACATTCTATTACAAGTGTTACAGTCTTGTTTTTATTGTCATGGTGGTGACGGGACGTGGGTGAGGTGTTTGATTGTAACACAATAAGAAGGCTACGTTCAAAACTGTATTCACAGGAAGTGCCTTCAGCATCAGCAGCCTAAAAGATAACCATGGAGCAGAAACACAGTCTAGCCACAATTGAACATTGAAAGCGTCCCACGGTGTGTATTTATTGCATTGCATCGTGTATGAACCAACTGTGGCAATCCTCTTACTCAAAAGTGACTAACAGGTTCATTGACTAACGTCTGTCCCATTCACCTCTTAATAAAACTACTCTTACAACACCCAGCTCATTCATAAAACAGTCCTTATCAATACGTTAATTCCAACACTTTATCTAAAAGGTGTAACTTCGTGTGTCACTTGGGGTAAACGGGACCCTCTGCGTTCTTGATTGACTCGGACAGTCCCGGTGTATTGTATAACACTAGGCTGTCGAAACTCCTTCACGTCTCCATTCACTGCGAGCCTGCTGTTAAAGCTCAGTGCAGCGGCTGCAAAACCCTTAATGACAGTAACGATAATGACCGCGTTTCATCTCAGACATGTAATATCTTGATGACTACTGACAGCAAAGTTGACAACACGGGCATGGAAACTAAAGGCCGCTTGGGCCTGACTAACCTTCGCTACATGTTAACTACTTAACGAATAAACCAGCTACCGTTAGCTTAACTGTTAGCTCACAGGCAAGACAGCTGTGGTAGACTTTACCGAGCTAACTAACTCAACTTTCTACCAACTAATAAGCTCAACCATCTGGCGTTGTTGACAACGTTGGCTCACGTTTAATTGACACCAACAACGAACTTCATGCCCAACAAGGTTGGCCACAAGGACGAGGTTGAGTTTGCTAAATGTTAGCTTACGAAACTGGAATCTAAAAAGGCCAACTTTGACTAGGAAGGAGGCTAGAACAAGCTAACATGAACGAAAGACAATCCCTCTCGCCAGCAGCACCACCTGGGATTCGCTGCTCTCATGCGTTTCCTATCCTCGGCACTCCCCCTTGCTCCCCAGCTCGTTAACGTTAACCTACATCACCCATTCCCAGCTAGCTTGTAGGCTAGCTAGCACACTTAGCTAACGGCAACTAGCTTCTTCCGCTTATATGTCAGCGTTGTTTTGGTCCCCTAACGCAGACTGTTGTAACGTTACATTTCCTTAAAACATAAATGTCAACCGCAAGGCTTTGAAACACATTTTTTTGTGTCCGCCATAATGCGCCCCCACGAAATTACACTGCAACCTTGCTGCTACCACTAGCGAACGTTAGCTAGGATGGGCTTCAAAACAAGACATTCTAGCCTAGCTCACGTTAGCTAGCGGTGATCTGTCAACGCGTTTCTATCACAAACACCGACTCGCTCGCACCACCGTGCCGACGTGTGTTCTTACCTTCATGACGGGACATCCTACGGACACTAGCGCAGCCCCCTCTTCGGGCTCCCTGGTTTACAATATAGAATAATATGAGTGAAGAGAAGAGAAGCCGGGGTTGGTTGGCTGTCCCTCTTCCCTCATGAAGGATCCGGTCTGGCCCCCTCCGCCTCCTGCTGTGTCACTGTCCGGTGCGCTGCTCTCACGTCCACACGGTGGCGCTGTTGTTTCAGGTTTGGTGCTGTGGTTGTCTTGGCTGGTGAGTGGTTGAGACGTGTCTATGGAAAAGAAGCTTATAGGTGACTCCTCAGGGACCTTGACAGGAGTCCCTTCAAAACAAAGTTTTTAAAGAAGTGTTAAGATAGTTGTATTAGTCAAAAGTTCCTTGTCCATCACTGTGAGCAGGTACTTCGATGTGTTTCCCTGTCAACTGATGGCGCTCCATTTCTGTAAATATATTGAGAACCCTTTCTCTAAAATAGGCCTTATTAGCCTATTTGTTTTAATATCTGTACACGGGACAGACTGGGAAGCAGTATTTAAATAAAATGAATGTATATATTGACTTAAGATAGGCTTTAAAAACATAGCTCATAGGTCTTAATAAGACAAATATAGCCAACCTCAATGTCGTGTCACACTCTGAGTAGGCTATATAAATAATAGTCAGACTTACATATCATGTGTTCAATTGCCACCACCTGTTAACCTTAAAAACCCTTTACACAAAACCCCATGATTGTTCTTGGCATTAATAAAATAACGTTTAACAAATAATTATAACCGATCCCTGCAAAGCCTTGATCTACGCTGAATTGATCAAAATGAATGCCTTCATGTAGTCTCACTCAACTACATACAGGTAATTGGTCATTATTTAAAAGGGGAGAGCAGGGAGAAACATGATGAAAGGTTTACACACAAGTACAGTTGCTTTAAACAGTTTAATATTTTACAGGATTTTAGAAGATTCTGCACTAAGCACAAACCAAGAATTACAGAGTTAAACTTTGCTCTGACTTCACGGCACATAGGCACACACATGAAGTTTTCGGGAATAACTTCATGAATGACTGAGACAAAGATGTTTACTCTCTCTGCTCTCCCCACAGAGCAGCCTGCAGGTGATCTGTTTCAGTGTTTCACAGTGTCTCATTGTTGGGTCTTGACGCCGTGGGGCCAAAAATCCGGACAGGTCAGCACAGAGCAGAATCAAACTGGCACTGTGACCGGGCCGGCTGGCTGACGTGTGCGGATGGAAAGAATAACAATAACCCCGCACGAGAAGCAACATTACCATTGGAGTAAATATTACTGTTTCAGTCCAACAGACTAATTCTGGGAAGTCATTGAGTTCTGCTATTTTCTTACTGAAGAACTATAGACTTGTTGTCACTCTGACGTCAAAATAATGAACTGAAATAAAAGGATGGTGTGATCAAGCTGTTTTGTCATAATTGAATCCTTGTAGAACAAAATGTTGCTGTATATATTACCAGTGGGAGGCAGGACTGAATGTTATTTAAATGATAAGTGTATGGGTATTTAAAGTCCTGTGTGTGCTCAAGGATGGGTACAGTACAATGTCATCATCTCCTGACAGATCTGTTTCCAAATACCAGAGTGCACACCCCATCCTGGGATCCAGCAATGAGTACCCCCCTCCAGAGATCACTGACGTCCATGAAGTGAATATTTTGTAGGACAGTGAGTGAGCAGGATGGATTCTTTTCTATTTTTTTTAACGCATGACGCTGTGTTGCATCATCTCTTCACTTGAACTCCAGTGCCCTCTGGAGATCAACCTTCTGCTCTGTTTGAAAAAAACAAAAAAAACATACAGTATGTCTATTAATACATGGGTAAAATTAGGACAAGTTATTTTGGACGCTGCTGCTGTATCACGCCACACTCTCATGCTCCTCCATTTGATGCTGGCTTTATGAAAACCTTTGATCATTTCTAGTCCAGTCGGTCCAAGTCACTGTGAAGCTGGTGAGAAACTGGATTTATTTCACCTAATTACCATTGTAGGCACACAAATCAATACATGGATGTCTCATTTGGGCAGACAATATCAATATGACAAGATGTACAGTACATGTACCACCATCTGCACCCTGTGTACACCACACATTTCACAAGTGGTATGACGTTACTGTGTCAATGTTGTTGTACTTGGATCTTTTTCCTTTTTGTGCTGCATCAAGGTGATTTAATTAAATTATGAATTTGTTCATATTAATGCATATGACAAGAAACATAGTGGAACAGCAATCTGGAGGAGATAGATATATAGATAGACAGACAGACAGACAGACTGACAGATAGATAGAAACTCTTTAGAGACCATGATAAAGTGCGCGAGGAAACAGTTCGGCGTGTTTATGTCTCGCAGACCTCACAGAGCCGTCAAACCCACTGACCTACTGCGCATTGTACCCGGCAGCACCGCTTTGTTCGGATGGCAGGTACCGGGAGGGTGAGTGGGAGCGCGGTGGCAGGTGACATGAGTTTCAGGAAGCGGAGCGGGCGCTGATGTATGTACACAAAACAGTAGCGTTATTGTAGCGCAGACCCTCTGCGTGAGTGCGCCCATTCTTCGCCTCATCAATTGAAACCGGTCGGTGAAGCTAAGCTAATGGGCTGGCAGCGCGCCAGGCGGAGGGGACGATACGTTCAGCGGTGGAGGAGGGGGAGGGAGCCTCTCTGTCCCCCACCACACACACACACACACACACACACACACACACGGGTCGGAGCCTTTTAAATATTCCCATAAATCCGTAGGGTTTCCCACCTAAGATTGGTGTTGTTGTTGATAATACTAAATAAAAAGAAGACCTAGAGTGAGACCTCATTAACTGTTTAACGATCACTTCCACCGCGTGGATCCGGTATAGGGCAATATAAAGGTATGAGCCATGACCTTCATACGGTCATACCGAACACCGAGTAACTGGATCCGTTTTTACTGCTGCTCGCGTCACGCCCCGCACTCACAAGGGCTCTAGGAGCACGCGCAACGTGAGAAGCCTACTACGACTTCATTCAAGCTTTGCCACGCCCTTCAACGTAAACAAACGGGGGCTTGACCAATAAGATCCGCGATAGATCAGCCGATGATCAGATGACCGAGAAGGGGGAAACTATTTAAAACTCTAATGAGACACTTGGTGCAAGTTTATACATCTCACGGACGTGCACCAATAGAGACGCACAACCACCGGGCTCCCTCGCTTTCTTTTTTTAAAATCCCCTAACTGGAACTAAACCTACCTACCTACCTCGCTACCAACCGGCACCACAGAAACGCATTTTATACCCGTGCGCTTTTATTTCCGCCACACTCTGTCTGTGACTGAGAAATGAGCCCCGCAGCCCTTTCACTGTGGATTCTCCTACAGTGTGCCGCCACGCTCCTCTCGCCAGCTGCCGGGGGAAACACCGTTCTTAAAGGTAAGACACGACTCTGCGTCCATTGTTCATTCATTCATTCATTCATTCATCATTTTAATTTCTTTGCCAGCCTCACAAACGTGTGTATATATGTGTCAAAATCTAAACACCAGGTGTAGAAAGTAGGGCAAGGCACGCGCTAGTGGGGAATCCATGAATGGGACGATGTATTAAGTCGCCTAAAGCTCACTTTTCCTCACATTTGTACCAACGTCCCCCCCCCC